TGTGTTTGTGAATTATCTTTCTTCAACTCCTTTTCAGAAGCTGCTATGGGATTCTTGTTTTTGTGTGTAGTTTGTTCTTGTCTGTTTAATTTACTAGATTCTCTGCATATGGGTTGTTTTTAGTATGAAAATGAATGCTAAGGCAAGAAATGAAAATGAATTCTCACAATAGTGTAAGATTGTAGTGCCTGCTTCGGTAGCACATACACAATAGTGTAGATTCTAATAGGGAGCATTACCACTGTGTAGTTATTTTTGTTTGTTTTTTGTTTTATGTTTTTTAAATCCCTAAGAGGACACTATGACTTACACATAGGTAGTTTCAGTGCCTTTCTCGTTGGAAAATCACTGATTATCGATTTAAAGGAGCAGAATAAAATGAGCTTCTTTCATTTCTTCCCTGCTAATTGTAGAATGCTTAGAAGATCTGGAAAGTGGAATCACATAATGCTTTCACAGTATGTGATTCATGGTTTTGTGTTTTTGTTTTTTTAACCAGTCAATATGAGGATGGGTCAGTATCTGCAGATTAATAAATATGATGTATCACCTTAACATAATGAAGGATAAACCCATATGATCATCTCAGTAGATGCAGAAAAAGCATCTGCTGATATTCTGACAAAATTCAGTACCCTTTCATGATAAAGACTCAACAAAGTATGTTTAGAGGGAACATACCTCAACATGATAAAAGTCATATATGACAAGACCACAACTAATATACAAGGCCACAACTAAGATCAGAAACAAGACAAGGATGTTCACTTGTCACTTTTATTGAACATACAACTGAAAGTCCTACACGTAGCATTCAGACCAGAAGTTGGGGACAAGGGGAAGGCATCCACATTGGTAAGGAAGAAGTAAAGTCATCACTGTTTGCAGATGACATGATACTATATATAGAAAATCCTGAAGACTCTACTCAAAAACTATCAGAACTAATAAATTCAGTAAAGTCATAGGATACAAAATTAATTTACAGAATTCTGTTGAATTTACATAAACTAATAATGAAGCAGTAGAAGAAGAAATTTTAAGAAAACAATCCCATTTACAATTGCACTAAAAGGAATGAAATACCTAGGAAGAAATTTAGCCATGAAGGTGAGAGAGCTGTCTTTTGAAAACTAGAAAATACTGATGAAAGAAATTGAAGACCGCACAAACAAATGGGAAAGTATATCATGTTTATGGATTGGAAGAATTAATATTGTCAGAATGTCCATACTACTCAGACCAGTGTACAGATCCAGTATAATCCCTATGAAAGTACCAATAGTGTATTTAACAGAACTAGAACAAATAATCCCAAGATTTGTATGGACCCACAAAGCACCCCAAATGGTTAAAGTAGTCATGAAAAAGAAGAGTAAAGCTGGAGGTATCACAATCCCAGATTTCAAGATACACTACAAAACTATAGTAATGAAAACAGTATGGTACTGGCATAAAAACAGTCACATGGATCAATGGAACAGGATAGAGAACCCAGAAATATGTCCATACTTATATGGTTAATTATGGTAAAGGAGGCAAGAGTATACAGTGAGGAAAAGATAGTGTCTTCAATAAATGGTGTTGGGAAGACCAGATAGCTACATGCAGAAGAATGAAAGGAGACCAATTTCTTTCACTATCCGCAAAACAAATTGCAAATGGATTAAGGACATAAACATGAGACCTGAAACCATAAGACTCCTGAAAGAAAACAGGAGAAAACTGTTTGCTAAATATGTTCTCTCAGGCAAGGGAAACAAAAGCAAAAATAAACTATTGGGACTACACCAGAATAAAAAGACTTTGCACAGTGAAGGAAACCATCAACAATGTCAAGAGCTGTCTGGGGTGCCAGGGTGGCTCAGTCAGTTAAGTGTCTGACTTTAGCTCAAGTTGTGATCTCACGGTTTGTGGGTTCAAGCCCTGCATCAGGCTCTCTACTATCAGCACAGTGCCTGCTTCAGTTCCTCTCTCCCCCACCCCAACTCCCCCCACACCTCCTCTGCTCACTTGCTCATGTACTGTCTCTCAAAAATAAACAAAAAAACAATCTGGGGGTACCTGGGTGGCTCAGTTGGTTAAGCTTCCAACTCTTGATTTCAGCTCAGGTCATAATCTCACAGTTTGTTGAGTTCAGGCCCCACATTGGGCTCTGCACTGACAGTGTGGAGCCTGCTTGGGATTCTCTCTCTGTGCTTACTTCCCAGCTTGCATTGTCTCTCTCAAAAAAAATAAATTTAAAAAAAAGAAAATATTAAAAAGTAATAATGATAACAATCTGGTTCACAAATGTGTAGAGCCCCAAATAGACACTTTTCCAAGAAGACATTTGGATGAGGGCAAGAGACATGTGAAAAGATGGTCACATCACTAATCATCAGGGAAATGGATAACAAAACCGCAGTGACCTGTTGCCTTAGACCTGTCAGAATGGCTAATATAAAGACAAGAAATAACAAGTATTGGTGAGAATATGGAGAAAAGGGAACCATCATGCACCATTGATGGGAATGTGTAAATTGCTGTAACCACTGGAGAACAAGCTGGAGATTTCTTTAAAAAATTAAAAATAGAGGGGTGCCTCAGTGACTCGGTTAAGCGTTTGACTTTGGCTCAGGTCATAAACTCATGGTTTGTGAGTTTGAGCCCCATGTTGAGCTCTGTGCTGACTGCTCAGAGACTGGAGCCTGCTTCAGATTCTGTGTGTGTGTGTCTCTCTCTGTTCCTCCCCTTCTTATACTCAGTCTATCTCTCTCAAAAGAAGATTAAAATTTTTTTAATGAAAAGAATTAAAAATAGAAATACCATATGATCCATTAATTTCACTAGTGGGTATTTATCTACAGAAAATGGAAATGCTAATTGGAAAAAGATGTATGCAAGAGACTCTTAAATATGGAGAACAAACAGACGGTTACTGGAGAGTTTGGGGGGTGGGGATAGCTAAATGGGTAAGGGACTTTAAGGAAACTATTCCTGAAATCACTGTTGCACTATATGCTAACTAACTTGGATGTAAATTTTTTTAAAAATCAGTAAAATTTTAAAAAGAAGAAAAAGATATATGCACCCCTGTGTTTATTGCAGCATTATTTTCAGTAGCCAAGATATGGAAGCAACCTAAATCTCCACTGATAGTTGAACAGGTAAAGACAATGGAATATTACTCAGCCATGAAAAGAATGAGATCTTGTCATTTGCAACAGCATGGATGGACCTATAACGGTTTATGCTAAGTGAAATAAGCCAGAGAAGGACAAATGTGACATGATTTCACTTTTACGTGGAATCTAAAAAACATAGTAAATTGAACAAACAGAATCATAAATACAGAGACTTAACTGGTGGTCACCAGAGGAGAGGAGGTTGGGGAATGGGCTGAATATAGGTGAAGTGGTTTAAGTGGTACAACTTGCAGTTATAGAATTGGTAAATTAGGGCAATGAAAAGTCTGGCATAGATAATATAGTCAATAATACTGTAATGGTGTTGTCTTTGTATGTTGCAAGTACTATCATGAGAAAAAGAAAGTGCAGGCAAAAAACTTAATTAGAATTTCTTGAAGCTGTGTGATGAAATTAACTTTTTACATTTTGCTTAAGTGCTACTTTTCTCTTTAGGATCTTAGACTGTTAGGTTCTGAATAGTTACCATTACTCCCAGATGTTTTATTTTTATTTTGAAATTTGTATTTGGAAGTATTAGGTAGTTATCTAACTTCATAGGTGTTAAGGAGTTGTCGATGATTTCATTTTGTTTTTAAAGGATAATAAAGAAGAGCTTGTTTTGAGGCAGTGGACGTTTAAATGCTTACATGTTCTTATTAATCAATTTGATTTAGCTGGTCTGCTGGCCAGTGTATTTCTATCTTGGAAGAACAGATCCAACTTAGTGGGTTAATTCATCTAGCTGAATTCATTTGTTCTGATTTAATGTTCACTAAAATTTTTAAAAACAAAAAATTATTATTTAGCTTACTAGTAAGTACTTAACTTACTTTTTCTTAATAAATACCCCTGTGGGTTCTCTCAGCAAGGATATTCTCCCTCATGTGAAAGTTGGTTTTATTGTAATTGTGTACATAATGGCAAATGTCTCCATACAGATGTCAAGCTCTTTAAACATCACTTTTAGTGTCAGGTGGATAAAGGGGGCTGACAATATAAAGGACCAGGAAAAGATAGGAGAGCTGTCTTTCACAGGAAATAAGGGAATTGAAAAGAAAATAATTCCTCTTATAGTAGAAAAATGACAACAGAAAGTAATGAGTTCTTTGAACATATGGTGGCTTTACTTAAATAATCTGCAGTACTCTACTATTACTGTTTCAAGCATTGAAACAATTTGGAGTGGGTGTGTAGAATAGAAAAGATTACACATCTTTAAGTATTTCTTGAACACAAAATGGTTTTGCAGTAATGTTACTGTTTTTTGAAACAAACATCTTATTTGGGGAAAACTATTTACTTAAGAAAACAATATTTTTGTGGGTGCCTCAGTGGCCCAGTTAGTAAAGCGTCTGACTTCAGCTAAGGTTATGCTCTCATGATTTGTGATTTCAAGCTCTGCATTGGGCTCTGTGCTGACTGCTCAGAGCCTGGAGCCTCCTTCAGATTCTGTGTCTCCCCCTCTCTCTGCCCCTCTCATGCTCATCCTCTGTTTCTCAATAATAAAAGTGTTAAAACATTAAATAATATTGTTTTTTTAGTTTTTTTGTGACTTATGTTAAGTAGGTTCAGTTTTTATGTATAAAACTTCCTTTTATCGTTATGGTAAAAGTGTTAATATTACAGACCTTAGGATTATAAGCAAAAAGCTGATTTATAGTTACGTTGATTTTTGAAGTAATTGTGTTTGTTACCTAACAAAGTTTGGTTGACTGCCTCTATCAATTTTAAAATCTTGCTGTCCTGAACAGGTTGTTACTATTTATTGTTTTCTTTTTTTAATGCATTATTAAGAAAAAATGAAAATAAATGAACCTTTTGTATTTTTAGGCCCGAATAGCATTTTTGCAAGGAGAAAGAAAAGGACAAGAAAACTTGAAGAAGGATTTAGTAAGAAGAATAAAGATGTTGGAGTATGCATTAAAACAAGAAAGGTATGTGTGCCTCATTTTCCTATAATGTAAAGTAGAACAATATTCTCTTTTATACCAGTGTGCACTATATTTGAAAATTCTTTGAAAGATAGGAAATCCTGCCCAAAGTATAAGATGATACTTTGATTTGATTCTTATAAGGGAAAAGAAAAGATTTAAATCTCTAAAATTGAAGTAATATAATTTGTTATAAAATCTAAGTTTTGGAGTTTTATTTTTCTTTAAAGATTAGGAAAAAATATTGTCTTCACTCGAGTGTATAGGTTAATTGGATAATTTACATTTTTTCTTACATAGCAGTACACTTTTTTCTCTAACTTCCTTTGCAAGTAAAGCTTAAAAAGCAGATATTCATATTATGTTTTATATGTTATCAGAGAAATATATACCAGCATTTACTTAACTGTAGAAAAGGAAAATAAATTTTTCTTTCAACAATTTATTATTAAATTTTCAGGGCAAAATATCACAAATTAAAATATGGCACAGAACTGAACCAAGGTGATTTGAAAATGCCAACCTTTGAATCAGGTAAACTGGATTCTTTTGTTAACCTTCTTCTGACCCAATTCAAGAAAAAAAATGGTTTACGGTCATTTTTATGTAACAGACATGTTTTCTTCACCCTCATTTTGCTTTGATAGTATTGGTTAGTCAGATGGTTGACCACTGTAATAATACCTAGTACTTTGGGGAAAATAATAAATGAATAAAAGTAAATAGTTTTGTCTGTATCTAAATCTTGAAGTTGTTTATCCTATTTTCCTTGTGTTGAAATCTGTATAAAATTGTGAGTGCATTTTGATATTAGAAGTAAAAGATAATGAAATATTTCTTTCTACACTTGTAGGTAGTTCTTGTCCCATCCTATAAAAGTTTAATTTTTTATTATTACAAAGGTCTTTTTATCTGGAAAAGCTGTGATTAACACAGTTTAATTCTGAAAACTGGAAATTTGACTGAATTTGGAAACCTCATAGTCAGCCCTTTAGGGATAAGAGAAGGAAAAGAATCTTCACTACTTCATCTTTCACTATACAAAATCTTGCATTTTACACTAAATAGATAATGAGTGTGAGAGTAGTATCTGATGAACAGTTATGCTGAGAAGAGAGGGCTGGATATAGGAAAAAGCTAACAGTTTAATGTTAACTTTAGGGTTCTTTATGATTACAATTTGAGTAGTCTAAACATCTAACAATAAATAAGGAATACTTTGATTTATATTATGCATATTTGGAATGTTATCAATTTCTTATTTATTTCTCAGGTAGATTTAGAACTCACATATTTTCATGGTGCATTCAAATTGAATTCTATGCTGTTCTTGGATTATGGTTACTAAGACAAGAAAAAAGTGTATCTTTATTTGGATATGCAATTTTTCTTCTTTTATAGTTGCAGCATATCTAATAAAGTCAAAGCATATATAGTAGGGAAGATAAAACTTAGATATGATGTTTTTTCTTTCAGTTCAGTGACAGTAAATTTTTTTAGTGGCAGTAAATTTTTAAAAAATAATTCGTTTTTAATTTAATGTTAATATTAAATATTTAATATTAAATTTAATATTAAGTACTTAGAACTTGACAGAAACACTTCATACAACCTGTAGTTGATTTTTTTCCCACTTACCAGTTTTATCATTTATTATATCATCAAGTAGTTGGTATCTATATAAAATTAAGAGACCAACATATGAGCAACATGGGTTTCCTTTGATGTGGCTTTTCAGAGATGGTGAAGGTTCACTTTGACAGTAGGAAACATATTATGGCTTCATCTTTGGAAAAGCAACGGTAAAAACACGGAAGGTCTATATATTTTGACCCTTGTTGACTACAGTAGTCTTTCTTACTGCAGTTAGAGGGAGTAGAGTGGCTTTGCCATAGAGAGAAGTTAATGAATCCAGAGCTTTTCTTTGACCCCTTTTCTTTCTGTTATGGCTAGAATATTGAGAAAATAAGTATTCATTTTCTGACTCAAGGGCTGTTCCCCTAGTTGGTCTGCATAAATGTGAGGAAGAAGGCTAGTTGCAGCCACATTGTTCCTGGAGCCAGTCAGGATTGGCTAGCTGGTTTCAGTGCAATATTTTGTGTAAAAAAAATCATTAGTAGATAAATCTCTGCTGCCTACTAAAAACAGATTTGTTTTTATCTTATAAATACTTATAATCTTTTATCTTTAATACTTACAAACTTAAGTATTAAAACCTCCTCAAAATGAGGAATAAAATGACATTCAGGTGTTTCATTTACGGGAAACAGTAATAGAGTAGATTTCCTTTATTGATGTAGAAAAACTATTCATGGTTTTTAGTGAGGGTAGGGGAAAGCAATGAAGGAATGGGCAAAATATAATATACAAACAAAATCGGATAAAATGATTTACATCACAGTATGGATCGAGGTAAACATTAAACAAATTATTGTTGCCTTTTAATACTCAGAAATAGGGGCGCCTGGGTGGCTTAGTCGGTTAAGCGTCCGACTTTCGCTTAGGTCATGATCTCGCGGTTCGTGGATTCGAGCCCCGCGTCGGGCTCTGTGCTGACTGCCAGCNTAAAACTTAAAAACTTTTTTTACTTTATCCCTTTCCAATAAATACCTCTGAAAAGGATCTCTGTACATTCAGAAAGAACACACAATAAAAATTAATTTTTAAAAACAGAAAATCAGCGACAGGGAGAAAACAAATTTCCTTTGAAAAGATTAATAGTGGGGCGCCTGGGTGGCTTAGTCAGTTAAGCGTCCGACTTTCGCTTAGGTCATGATCTCGCGGTTCGTGTGTTCGAGCCCCACGTCGGGCTCTGTGCTGCCAGCCAGCTCAGAGCCTGGAGCCTGTTTCAGTCTGTGACTCCCTCTCTCTCTGACCCTTCCCTGCTCACGCTGTCTCTCTCTCTCTCCTAGAAATAAAACATTTAAAAAAAAAAATACTCAGAAATAAATCAAACTATAAAATACTGTCTTGACAGAAGTATAATATGCATATTTTTATACCTGTGTCTCAGTAATACATACACACACACACACCTAACCCTATAAAAAGGGTTGTATCTAAATATGTAAAGAGCTTTTTTGTGCATTTGTGGGGGGAGGAAATCTGTAACAGTAGAAAAATAGGCAAAAGAAAAGGCAACCTGTAAGAGAAGACATCCAAGTGACCAATGAGTATATGAAATGATGCTTTTTGTTATTTGTCATTGAGGAAGTAAAACCAGAGTGCAGTACATACAATTAGACACCTATCAGAATGGCTAAATTAAAATGCAAAAGAAAAAAAAAAAGGTCAAGTCTGCTGGTGTTGGGATTGCAGATTGATAGAACTGCTCTGAAAGGGGTTTGCCAATGATACTGAAGGGAACATAGTGGTAGCAGCATGCTCTGGGATCCAGTAATTCTACCTCTATGTATTGTACATTAAAATGCATACATGTGCTCATCATAAGGCTTGTATAAGAATGTTTATAGTATCTTGTAGTAAAAATCTGGAAACAATTTGACCTGCCGTGTTAGAATGGATACATATATTGTGTGATATTTTAGCATAATGGAATGTTATTTAGCAACAAAAGTAATAAAGCTGTAACTATACCTGACAACATGGACAGGTAACATAAAACTGAAAAATGATAAAAATTATTTCATGTATATCAAGTTCAAAAATTAATCTAGTTTTTATAAAGCAGGATAGTATTGATACTCTTCTAGGAATGTCTAGTGACTGGAAGAAGGTATAAGGAAAGATTTTGGGGTGCTGATAATGTTTTGTTTCTTCATCTAGGAACTGGTTACATTGGTGCATTAAAAAATTCTTTGAGCTGTATGTTTTTGGTGTACTTCAAGGATATCTATAGCAAGATTATTTATAATGGAAACTGGAAACTAATGTCAACATTACTGGAGTGGTTAAATTAAGTAGGCATATACTTTCTATGGAATATTATGTAATCATCTTATAGGATATTAATCTGTATTCATTGCCATCAAGATGGTCAAATATGATAAGTGTCAAAAGCAACTTTATAGTACAGTATACACATTGGTGCCTCTCCCCATTTTTAAGAAAAGAAGTTTATGTGTGTATTTTGAGGTGAATAATAGGAATGATAAAGTCCCAAGTACTAACACTTTTAATGATAGTATTTGGGGCAGTTGTAGTTCTTTTTAAAAATGTACTTTTCGGGGGTGCCTGGGTAGCTCAGTCAGTTAAGCATTTAACTTTTGGTTTTTGGCTCAGGTTGTGATTTCACAGTTCATAGAGGGCCGCATTGGGCTCTATATTGACATCGCTCAGTCGGCTTGAGATTCTCTCTCTCTCCTTTTTCTGCCCCTTCCTTGCTCATGCTCTCTCTCTCAAAATAAATAAATAAACTTTAAAGAAATGTTAAAAGAATGTATTTTTTCTCCAGTGATTATGTACTGTATGTGATTTAACAGCAAACAAAATGGTATAAATAAAAAACCTATAAACAAAAATAGAGGAGCTATTAAGATGAAATAATTATTTCTAGAAATCTTAGAAGCTCCTGTGTGTGGGGGAAGAACGAGGTGTTAATAATGGGATTATTAGGGTTAGAGAAATAAGGCCTGCAGGAAATACTTGAGTTAACCACTAGGAAGTTTCTCCTCTCATGACTCTGAGGAGTCCAGGAGCCTAACAACCGCAAGCTATGCTAAAGGTTATCAGCATTCACTGTGAGGGCTGATCCTCTATGATCCTCTCTTCTCTGCATTATCTGATTTTCATAATGGGAATTTTTAGGAAAATATTTCTGTAATATCATTAGTGCTGTTAAGTGGTTTTATTTTTTTTATTTAAAATTAAAAAAAATGTTTTTTAATGTTTTTTTATTTATTTCTGAGAGAGAGAGAGACAGCATGAATAGGGGAGGGTCAGAGGGAGAGGGAGACACAGAATCTGAAACAGGCTCCAGGCTCTGAGCTGTCAGCACAGAGCCCAATGTGGGTTCAAACCCATAAACCGTGAGATCATGACCTGAGCCGAAGTCAGACGCTTAACCAGACTGAGCCACCCAGGCGCCCCTGATAAGTGGTTTTAAATTTCTCACTAGGGATACTTACTGAGAGTTTAACGCATCTCAGATTATAGTATTTGTTAAACTGTTTCTTAATTCATATACTTATATCTGAGAAAAAACATGACCTTTTACCTATAGTAGAAACCACTTTCTGGTTTTAGTTCTAAAAATGAAATTAATTATTATTAATTATATAAAGTGTTATGATAAAGACTTAAAGTTTCCTGATGGACTGAAAATTAAGTCATTGAATAGTTTTATATATACTAGATTTCTTAACAGTGTTGATTTTGAATAGCTGAGGTAAATATTAAACATAGCTTTTTAATTTTGAAACCATTCAATCCAGTAGAATTCTGGTAGTTAAAAAAATATTTTTTTTCAATATTTTCATTTCAAAGCCTGGGTTTTTGGTTTTTGAATCCCCATAGAATAGTGATGTACTCTTGGATTTCCCAGTTTTAAAAACAAGGAGGGTTATACCTGAGTTTTGTGGTTGTTGGGATAAACACATTTAAAACAAGTGTAAATACTTAATATTGTTAATTTACTTCTATCATTTTTAAAACATTTAGTTATAGTTTTATGGGAATTTATCCCGGAGAGAACTTTGGCAGTAATTTCAAAAGTGGAAATACTCTGTGTGAAATTGTCTGTTTTGTGTGTGTGTTAACTTTTAGAAGAAACCAAAGACACAGAAGCTCCCACAGCACCTCAGAATAGCCAGTTAACGTGGAAGCAGGGCAGACAGCTGTTAAGACAGTAAGTAATGATTCATTTTCAGCATTCTTTAAGGATCTAGTATGAAAATACTTACATTCAGTAACTTTGGAAGGAAAACATTATTTGATGATAATAGGACAAAGTGTATAGTTTTTATTGCTTTCTTGTTTCATTCAACTATTGGATCTTTTTAAAGTTGGTGTCCTTGAATGTCCTTTGAACACTGCTCAGGATGATGGGGTAGAATGTCATAAAAACTGGATGGCGGGAAGGCCAGAACAAAAACAATACAGAGTTCATACTCTCATTTCTGTCACTGCAGAATTCACATACTTGGTTTTAAGTGAGACTGTGACTGGTTTATAGTAGGAATTTAACTGGTAATCTAAAACCTTTCACAAGTGGCTTGCCAAATCTTACTTTTACTTGAATTTTTGAGTAACCTTTTTGATGCTTGAATTCTTTGCTGTGTTAGAAGTAATTGTGTGCCCAGAATCCTGAGTGGCTTAGGCTGTTGAGCATCTGACTCTTGATCTCACCTCAGGTCATGATCTCAGGGCTTGTGGGATTGAGCCCTGTGGTGGACTCTGTGCTGGCACTGTGGAGCATGCTTGGGATTCTCTCTTTCCTTCTCTCTCTGCCCCTCCCCTGCTCATGCTTGCTCGCTCGCTTGCTCTCTCTCTCTCTCTCTCTCTCAAAATAAATAAATAAATATAATTGTGTGACATATCTTACTGTCTTTTATCTGTTTTTCACCCTTATATTTTTAAGACTTTGGTACTTTGTACTACTGATACCCTGGGTAATTTACAATTATTCAACCTTCTCAACTTTATACGTCTTTTACCTTCGCTTTAATAACCCAATGAAATGTGGTCAGACCCTTGATCTTGTTACTACCTAGAACTGCCTTATATCTAGAATTGTCCATGATTCAACGGTCCTCTTACATTCCACCTTTTTCACCCTAGTTCCCATGTTATTTGCCCTCTGACCTTCCCTTGATCTTAAATCCTTGGCTACTTCGCTTTCCCCTTTAGCTCCTCTAGCTCTGGTTGGTTTTGTTTTTTTGTTCTTGTCAGGTTTTCTTGTTTTTTTTCCCTAGTTCCAGCCTTGACCCCGTTATCCATCACCCTTTTGCCAGTACCCTTAGTTTTCTTACTGCTCTTTCTTACGTTTGTCCCACTAGTCATTTATCTACATCTACCTGCAGTATCCCAGCCCTACTTCAGCCTTGATACTCTTCTGCCTCTGTTTCTACTTAAATCTTGGAGAAAAATCACATTACACTACATATTCTGCCATTACATACTTATGGCTTCCTTTCCAAATATTATAGAGAGTCTCCATAACCCCAGCCACTTCCTGCTCCCAGTGCCCTCAGTGAATATTCTAAACTTTTACCACATCTCAGCTCATTCTCCCTTACTTATTAGAACACCTCAGGTTCTACATCACTGAAAATATGAAGGCTGTCAGGTGAGAACACCCTTAACTTTTGCTTTCCTTTCTGTAGATATATTTAATCCTCATATTTATCACTTTAGTTTCTAATGCTTCATGTAAACTCTTGAAACTAACATTCCAAACTCTCAGTGACTAAAACTTTAACAACTTTTAGTAAAAACAGATTGTTCTTTGGAAGGATGCTAAGGTAGCTAGCAGAATTGAGGGAAGTGCTGAATACCTGAATCAGGAAGCCAAGAGCTGACATATACCTGAGGACTTCTCAGGGAATGGAAACACCCAGGGTATGTTCTTACTCACTCTTTACTACATCTCTCTTTATCACTTTTAATCTTTTCTACTGAAAACCACTTTTCTCCAGATGGCAGGGTACCCCCCTGTTTAGTCTGAATTGGCTTAACTTGATCAAATAAATGCCTGTGAATCAATTATTTTTACCTGGATTGTATGAAATTGTGTCTGTTCATTCATACCACATGTTTGAGTGTGATGGCAGTTGTTTCCCCCAAAAGAGAATTGCAGTTTTTAGAAGATTACAATAGCTATAGCAAAATCAGTTGTATAGTGTTTCTCTTATAAAAGCCTAATCTTATTGCCTGGACTAATAGTCTGTCTCTCTTCCTTTTTCTCTGAGAGTAGTTTATCTCTGTAATCTTCCTTGTTCATTTGTCAGCTGTGTAGTCTGTTTTCCATTGTGATACTCCACTGAAGCTGTTCAGAGACATAGTTAAGAGACCATGTTTGTTCCTATTTGATCTTTTGGATACATAAGGCGTTGACCATTATATTTTGAATTCTTTTTTCTTATTCTCTGCTATCATTCCCCCCCACCCCCTTATTCTCAAGTACTTTCTTTTAATTTTTTTTTTTTAAGTTTCTCTTATTCTTTTAGCCCTTTAGGTGTCTGTGTCCCAGACTTTCTATTCTGAAGCTTTTTCTTGGGTAAACTTCATTTAAATCCATGGATTTAAATACCATCAAACATTGATGACTCCCAAATCTAGACGCTGAGTCTAATCTCTTCTGAGCCTTGACCTTTCTAGTGCCTAATAAATGTTACTTTCTTAGCTACTACATAATTACCTGATAAATACACTATAAACCAGATGCAGACTCTTTATTCTTCATTTCACTGAATAGAACCACCATCCAACCATCCAAACTAGAAACTTGAAAAATTTCTAAAATTATTTTATCTTCTTCATTCTTTTGCCATGTGCATTTGTGCACCAGGTCTCTAAGACTGCATCTTGCCTATTTTTCTCATGTTTGTTCTCTTTAGTCTTACTTCTTGCTGGGTTAATATCCTAACCAGTCTCCCTGCCATTAGCTTTCAGCTGAAAATCGTTGTTCTTTTGCATAGTGTATAAGGGTCCTTTTTAGCATCCTTCCTTAGCCTGTCAAATACTTGAAGAAGAAATTCTTTACCATACAAAGCCATTAATGACCCATTATCTATATTTATGTCAGAATCTGGTCCCTTTCTTCTTTTCTAGTCTAATCCTGGATCCTAGATTAAATACACAGAAAGTTTCAATACCACAAGATTTTAGATCCTGGACTGAGAACTAAACTGTCCATCATCCTCTGGCCAAAAACCTAGATTTAAACTTAACATGTCACTATTCTGTGGTTTAGTTCTGCTTATTCTTTACCACTTTGTAGACTTTTTTTTTTAATAGTACGTATCATCAACGGAAAAGCTTTTTAAGGTTCTTGAGCTTTTTAGGCTTCAAGATAATTGGCCCTTAATTAGCATTAGCCATACTGTATGCTTTCTTAATTAAATTTCGGTTTGTCATTGGCCTTGTTCTCTTAGAATTGGAACTGGTATATAGAGAAGAAAGTTTTGAGGCAAAAGAGGATTATATTTTACAGGGTTAGGGGCTTTTTCCTTGATCAGTCATTCCTTTATGTGATTTTGAGTTAACAGGTTTGCAGGGGTTAATATATGAGAATTAATATTTTAAATTTTCTCTTACAGATATCTTCAGGAAGTAGGTTATACAGATACAATATTAGATGTACGATCTCAGCGGGTAAGGTCATTACTTGGACTATCCAATTCAGAACCAAATGGATCAGTAGAAACAAAGAACTTAGAACAGATACTGAATGGAGGTGAATCTCCTAAGCAAAAAGGACAAGAAATCAAAAGGTATGTACTTGTAGGTTAGCACTGTTTATATGATGGGTGTTATGTGTCTCTTTAACTTCCTGTTACTACTGGTAACAATTTTTAAAGCAGGTAGTGTTCAGATTTAAAGACTTTTTACCATGTAAACGGTACCAGGGGCAAATAAATTTTAGCTTAGGTGATTTTTAAAATTGATGCTAAGGCTATAGTTCTGAAATAGGTGCGAAGTTGAAATTGGAGAGTAATTTCGTGTAGTTCTGAGCTATTTTAACATTCTGATTTTGCTAGGGTATTTTTAGTAAATTATATTGGTACTCTGTAACTAGAATAGCAATGGTTGTATACACCCTAGTGTGAAAGAATCAAGGCTTTGCATTATGTTTGGGCTTAGAAAATCACCAGTAACAGTTCTTAAAATTTAATGTCTTTCCTAAGACAAAATTCACATAGTATACATTTCTGCAGTTTAAGGTGTATAGCTTGTGGTTAGGATATTCAGACTCACTCAGCCATCACCACAATCTTAGTTTAAGAAAATTCATCATCCCATTGGGGCATCTGGGTGGTGCAGTCAGTTGAGCATCGACTCTTGATCTTGGCTCAGGTCATGATCTCATGGTTCATGAGTTCAAGCCCCGCATTAGGCTGTGTACCCCCCCACGCCTTTTTTTTTTAACGTTTATTTAATTTTGAGACAGAGACAGAGCATGAGCAGGGGAGGGGCAGAGAGAAAAGGAGACAGAGAGTCTGAAGCAGGCTCCAGGCTCTGAGCTGTCAGCACAGAGTCCAACGCAGGGCTTGAACTCACAAACTATGAGATCATGACCTGACCTGAATTCAGATGCTAACCTGACTGAGCCACCCAGGTGCTCCTATGTACCCCTTTTTTTATCCTGTATAGCCAGCTTAACACACCTTCATCTGTGATGGTATATTTTCAACTGAAGTTGAAGCAGTGCTTTCGTTTAAATTTTTAAAAAAAAATTTTTTTCTGAGAGAGAGCAAGCGAGCGAGTGCGCGCATGAGCAGGGGAGGGTCAGGGAGAGAGGGAGACACAGAATCTGAAGCAGGTTCCAGGCTCCGAGCTAGCTGTCAGCACAGAGCCTGACGCGGGGCTTGAACCCATGAACCGTGAGATCACAACCTAAGCCGAAGTCGGATGCTTAACTGACTGAGCCACCCAGGTGCCTCTGAAGCAGTGATTTATGATTTCTTAAGAAATAGAGCAGCTTTGGTACCGAATCTACTGAACTGGAAACAGGAAGATTATCTCAGTCTCCAGCCAAGCAGTGAGATCCCCTGTTTTCTTCTATCATCTGGTATGTTGGCATACAGGTCTTATATCTCTTCCATGGGGAATGTTGAAATTATCACATTAACAGGAAAGTCTTAATCCTAACAATAAGGATCACCTAGTAAAATGGTGAGCCTCTGTCCTTTCATGCAAAAGTGAAGCCAGCTGCTTGGCAAGCCTTGCCCAATACACAATACATACAGTTAGCCTTTTGGTGCTGCACTTTTAAATGTGAGCATTTTAGGAGAGACTTTAATGCAGAATTTGGAGACCGAAGGAAACAAAAAAAAAAGGAACTCCGAGAAAACAGGGAGCAGAAGACTTTCAAAACTGTAATTACTCTAAAAAGACTGAGAGCAGATAGTACATCTGCAGGCTCAGCACTGCCAGTGTGAAGTGCAACATGGGGTCCGAACTCGCATACCGTGAGATCATGACCTGAGTCGAAATCAAGAGGCAGATGCTTAACCAACTGAGCCACCCAGGCACCCCAGTAGCATATGTTTTTAAAAGATTCATCAAAAAGCTAGTAGAAATTAAAAGGTGTCATAGAAATAATTTCCATGTAAAACTTGGAAGATAAGGTTCAAGAATCACCTCCTCCCATCCCTTGAAAGAAAAAAGGGACAAAAGGAAATAGAACTGAAAAGATATGAAAATTCAAAGATCAGTTCAGCAAGGCTAACACCTGACTAGGAATTTCAGAAAGAACAGGTAAAATAATCTTGAAAAGATTTTTAAATTAGTAATAAAAGAAAGTTTGCTGGAATATATTTACAGCATGTTATTTCCAAGTATGTTTCCAGATAGAAAGGATTCTTCCCAATTACACTATAAAGTTAATTTTTAAAAAGATCCATACAAAATCGGGTGAGTGATCCACACTTTCGGCTCAGGTCATGATCTCAGGGTTGTGGGATCTAGCCCTGTGCCAGGCTCTATGCTCCACGTGGAGCCTGCTTATAATTCTCTCTCTGTCCCTCTCTCCCTCTGTCCCTTTCCCCTGCTCCTATTTGCTTTCTCTCTCTCTCTCTCTCTGTCTCTCTCTCTCTCAAAGAAAAACAAAAAACAAAAGGCACTCCATGAATGCTAAAACATCTCAAACAGCATGCTAGAATGCAAGTAGTAAAGTCTCAGACCTTTCATGGTAGTTTTAATTTTCATTTTCCTAAAGCCTGATGATGTTGAGTATCACTTTACACTATCAACATATCTTTTTGATACAGTGTCTATATGAGTCATTTTCTCACTTTTATTGTTTAGTTACTGTTAATATTTAAGTGTTCTTTATGTATTCTGGACACAGATTCTTCATCAAATATGTGACTTGGTAATATTTTCTATCTATAGGTAGGCTTTTCTTTATTCTCTTAATAGTGTCTTTCAAGGAACAAAGTTTTTAATTTGGGGAAGTTCGAGTCATCGTTTTTCTTTTATGGATTGTGTTCTATCTGTCTTAGAAATCTACACACTTACATTGCTGTGATCAAATACAATTCGGAAAAACCTGAAACATGAGTTTCACTTGAAAGAGAAATTTCTATCCAAGGGACAGCACTACTTCATTTGTCAAAGTTCAAAACAAAATTCTCAGGTCTTCAATATACTATTTCCTGTTTTTTCTGTAATTAGTGTACCAATTTTGTCAACTATCATTTTGCCTTTCATTTAATCCCCAAATGTTAAGGCTTATAGTAAATGGTGAGCTGAAAAGTATGTGTTCTGTTATTGTGGTAGTTTTTTGTTTATTTTTACTAATTTGTATTTGGAAAAAACATCTTTTAACTGCATTAAATTTTTATGCAGGCCATTAAACAATGTGCTGAATTAGGTAGAGTATTGTATACCTGTTAAAATCCTATGTCCATGTTAAAGAGCTATTAAAAAATAGTCTGAATTGTATCCTTAGAAATAATCAAGGAGGGGGAAAAAACTCCACAAATACTAGATTATTCTTTTTGCTACCAAAAGATCATCTAGTTCAACCCAAACAGTGAGGCTGAAAGGTCTAAGTGACTTGGCCAAATTTAGTCATGTAGTTAATGGAAGAGCAAAGACTTTCATTGTGAGCTGAAATTTCCACCATTCTCTTGCTTTGTTGTTAGACATTTTTACAGCTATTTAAAAACATGTTTTTTGTACATAGAGGAGAAACTCAGATTATAGCTTAAAAATGACAAATACTGTTTTCTAGGTAAGAATATTCTTGAAATGGATTGGAATATCTGTCTGATTTACCCCATAACTTTAAATCTTGGCAAGTTTTAATCTTCAAACATTGGGGCCAAACTATGAGAAGTTGTAAAGCTTTAAGAAATACTAAGCTTGGGGGCACCTGGCTAGCTTAGTCAGTTCAAACCCCATGTTGGGTGTGGATCCTGCTTAAAAAAAGAAAAAGAAAATAAGAAATGCTAAGTTTAAGTTGCTTGCTTGTGATGGCTTTATTTTGAGAAATAATAGCACATTTGAGTATCTATCACTCTATGATTTTATTTTGATACAGTAATTACTCCAGATGTTTTGGACAACAAACATTCAGAACTTAACAGAACACTGACTTACTTGAGTCAGAAAACATAATCTTTCCAACTTACTTTTCTTGGGTAGAGTATTTAGGCAATGGATTATAAGTAGGTTATCATTTGAAACTCCATACTACTTTCTTTCCTTTTATTTTTTAAAATTTATTTATTTTTGAGAAAGAGCACAAGCAGGGGAGGGGCAGAGAGAGAGAGGGAGACACAGTACCTCAAGTAGGCTCAGGGTCCAAGCTGTCAGTGCAGAGCCAACGCAGGGCTCAAGCTCACAAATCGTGAGATCATGACCTGAGCTGAAGTCGGACACTTAACAGACTAAGCCACCTAGGCGCCCCTCTATACTGCTTTCAAGTACTGTTTTAAAATAGGAACCAGAGGGGTGCCTGGGTGGCTCAGTTGGTTAAGCATCTGACTTTGGCTCAGGTCATGATCTCACGGTTCGTGGGTTCGAGCCCCGCGTTGGGCTCTGTGCTGACAGCTAGCTCAGAGCCTGGAGCCTGGTTCTGATTCTGTGTCTCCTCTCTCTGACCCTGCCCTGCTCATGCTGTCTCTCTTTCTCTCTCTCAGAAATAAATAAAACATTAAAAAAATAAAATAGGAACCAGAAATATTAGAATTAACCATTGGAATATCTGGATTCATCTTTTTCCCCTTTGACAGGCCCTCTGGTGATGTTCTTGAGACATTCAATTTTTTAGAAAACGCTGATGACAGTGATGAAGAAGAGGAAAATGACATGATTGAAGGCATCCCAGAAGGAAAAGATAAACATCGGATGAATAAACACAAAGTAGGAACTATTTTTTAATTTTTATTACCTAATACACGCAGGTGTTTGGAATAGAAATTTTCAAGATGTCTTAAGTTACATTAGAGTGATTGATCATTTTTTATTTTATCATATCACATGGAAGTTTTATAGTTCGGTCTTATTATTTCCCACATAGAGTAGAAATTATTATTTGGTGTATCACCCACTAAGTAGCAAAAAAAAGAGTCTATTTTTATAGAACTAGTTCGGTGGTTTGAAACTTTAAAAAAAGAAACCATGAACCCTCTCCACTGCTGCTCCAGTTAAGAATCACTGCTGAAGCCTGACTTTTCTTGTGCAATAAAACATGTGATAAATTAACCGAAGTTACAGTGAGGACACTCCCACTCTGGATGAGGGAGTAAACTATGTATTGTAAATATGTGTGTTCACGTTCTTGTTTTTTGGTAAGGATTAATAAAAATTTACTTGCTTATAACCTAAGAAACTGGATTATCTATTTGATCAGTGATATTTAACTATAAGTATAAGCAAATTAGACTATCCATTTATGAATTATAGTAATATAGACTATTTCTTTTTTTTTTTTTTTTTCATGTTTATTTTTGAGAGAGAGAGAGCATGAGCAGGAAAGGGGGAGAGGCAGAGAATCCGAAGCAGGCTCCACAGTCAGCCTGGACCCTAGCTCAGGACTCCATCTGATGATGAACTGTGAGACCTGAGCCTAAGTCAGGAGTCAGATGGAGCCCCCCCAGTCACCCCTAGAGTACTTCAAGTATGTTTAAAAAAAAAAAAGTGAATAGGTTAAGTTTTGGTTGCTGAGATATTAAGTAATGTGGGGGGAAATGCCAGCTTTCCTCAAAAATACTTTCCATGCTACAGTTGCAGTTCTCAGTGTTTCTATCATATTTCATGTATGTAACATGTTTTTGTTTGTTCTTTCTCTTGGGATGCATAGCACTATTATTATCACAGCTGTTGACTTAAGATCAGTTAATATCCTTATTAGCTAAGCCATATTCCTGTGAATTATAGAATACATAGGCACTTCTCAGTGAGTGAAGTCAGTTCAGCACAACGTATCTGAATATAAGTGACCGCATGGGTTTATAAATAGGGGTAGTTGTGAATCTATTATAATGAAAGAATTTAAATATTCCTGCTTAGTATTTTAACGATTTTTACTATCATATTACTTTCATCACATCTTACGGTTATCTTCACATGGCACTGTTAACCATTTATGTAGGGTACAGTCTGGAATTGGTGAACTACGTGGGAAATCTAAAATTTAAAAATGGGAGGGGCGCCTGGGTGGCTCAGTCGGTTGAGTGTCCGACTTCGGCTCAGGTCATGATCTCGCGGTTCGTGGGTTCGAGCCCCACATCAGGCTCTGTGCTGACAGCTAGCTCAGAGCCTGGAGCCTGTTTCAGATTCTGTGCCTCCCTCCCTCTCTGATCCTCCCCTGCTCATGCTGTCTCTATCTCTCTCTCAAAAATAAATAAAATATTTTTTTAAAAAAATTTAAAAATGGGAGTATAAATATAAAGTTAACAATGTTACTCATGTGGAACTTAACAGAAGATCATGGGGGCAGGGGAGGGGGAAAATAGTTGTAAACAGAGAGGGAGGGAGGCAAACCATAAGAGACTCTTAAATACAGAGAACAAACTGATGGTTGACGGGGGTATGGAGGAAAGGGGAAAATGGGTGATGGGCATTGAGGAGGGCACTTGTTGGGATGAGCACTGAGTGTTGTATGTAAGCGATGAGTCATGGCAATATACCCCCAAAACTAAGAGCACACTGTACACACTGTATGTTAGCCAATTTGACAATACATTATATAAAAAAAAATAAAGTGAATCCATAAAGGACACCTTTAAAATCTAGGGCAAAAGTAATTCTTGACTTATGTTCCATTTACAGATAGGTAACGAAGGTTTAGCTGCTGACCTAACTGATGATCCTGATACTGAGGAAGCACTGAAGGAATTTGATTTTTTAGTGACTGCTGAAGATGGTGAAGGAGCTGGAGAAGCACGGAGCTCAGGGGATGGCACAGAATGGGGTAAGGTGATTAAAAAAAAAAACATGGGGGTGGGAGAATAGCCCTTAAAGAGGTATTGCTTTTAAATATATATGTGGAATGTGAGTATTTGAATGTATGGTAGCAGTTAAGCAAGAGCAAGGAGAAGTGATACTGAATAATTTCAGGGTACTTTGCACCAACTTATTAGGTTTGGTGACAAAAATATGTTTAACATATACTTTTGGTAGATTTTGGTTTTTGAAGCTATCTTGATTTAAAGTTGAAATAAATTCAATTCTTTTCTTTTTAACGGATTAAAAAAATACCGCAGATGTATATACTTTTAAATATTCCCATTATTAATTTGGCAATGAATCTAGGTTTAAAGAAGACTTAACTGTTTTGTTATGCCTGTATAATATTATCTGACTTATTACTAGAAAGTAATAAGGTTTCTAATCCTGAATATAGCTTTATGTTGAACAAGGTTTGGTGAGGTATTAAACTTTATTACATACAATATTTAGTATGCACATGTTAGGGCCTACCTTTTGGAAATGGTATGTAATGCTAATAATAATTCAGCCATAACTGAAAGAAAACATTTCTATTTATACAGGGTTAAGAACCTCATTAGAAAGTAAAATAAAAGTGTAAAAATTATATTAAGATAATACTTGAGATTCAGTATGTTGTTCACTTAATCAGCTTTAAATGTGAGCATGTTATCTGGCAGTATAACACACATTGTGTTTCCAGAGCTTTATTGGAGAAGGTTACTATGTACATACTTAATGCATATTTCAGTGAACACCAAAGTTGCTTAGCTATTTGCAAGAGGAATTATCACTAGATACTTAAAAACTACTTTGGTGATGGGAAACATGCTATGTAAAAATGCTGTATTTATGTATTGAAACTGAATATTGCTAATAGAGGAAATAAAACCTAATAGGTAATGTAATTATTTATTATTCTGATAATAATTCAAGCACTTAAAAATCTGGATTTTGTTACCAGCTTTCTTATTGTTTATAATTCTTAAGCATTGTTTCAGACCTTCGTTTACCTCTTCTCACTGGAAAGAGAAGAAGCACAGTAGTTGAAAATATGAAACAACTTCAGAATTATTTTATACACTTTGATTATACATTTCTGTGGTTATTATTTGAAAATAGCTATTTCTAGTTTACTTTTCTTAAGAATTCGCCTTACTCAGGAGACGTGGTAAAAGTATTAGAGTTTTCATTAAGCTTCTTTGTGCAAGCCATTCAGTGTTGGAAATACCAATTTTTTTCCCAGTAATTTCTAAAGTACTGTTTTTTTAAAGGTTATTTTATAATTATATAAGTACATTTAAATTATATAAATATATAATTATTTTATTACTCTTATATATTTTAGGAAGTTTAGAACCCACAGACACATGTGAAGAAATTAAAAATTACCTTAATGCCAGTATGTAGAGAGAATCATGATTAACATTTATATATGTATATTTATTTAACAAAGGATTTATAACCCACTGCTGATTTATAACCCACACTTTTCACCTAATACATTGTTCTTCAGCAGCATTTTTAATAGCTTCCTAATATTCTGTCAATATGTTCCATTATTTAATTAGGGTTTTACCGAGGAATATTTAGATTATTTTCATTAAAGAAAATTACCAGTTTGAATATCTATATAGCTAAGTCTTTGCACATAACCATTCCTGCTTTCTTCACCTAAAATTGCTGAAAATTTATCAGTCAAAAAAATATATAAAAATTTCAGGAATTTAATTTTTATAAAATGGCATTATATCTTTAATAATGAAGTACCATGTTATTTACAGTTGATGGTCCTCCTTCTGTCCAAAGACCTTTGGCTCTAGAGTAGTTTGAAGAGCAGACCTAAATAGTGAATGATAACTGTAAAATGTTATTTCCTTTTCCTATTAGTATTTGTGTGACCTGAATCCCTGTGTAAATGGAAGTAACTGAAAGTTTCTTCCTTCTAGATGAGACTGAAACATCTTAAAAGCATTTTAAGTTCTTGAGAAGGAAAAGAAGAAAATGGTTTAGGCAGTTTCTTTCCTTAACAAATGAAAACTGTCAAAGGATCTTCGTAGTGTTTCTGAGTTTATCTTTTCTACTCAACAGGTTTTATATTAGTTTTTCTAAAACAAAGAGGACGGATATACAAACATACATCTATTTAACTCATTTGCTTAAATTTGAATTTACACAAATGGGAAGATGGTGGTTTTGAGACTTGAATTATTAGTAAAGGCAATTTTTTGTTTTTTGTTTTTGTTTTTAATAAGTAAGTATCCTAATGAAACAACCCAAAACACACCCACAGCGGAAATCTGTTATTTTGTATGTTAGAAATCTCAGATACATCAGAATTTGAATCCTTTTATCCTGTAAAACTGCTGCTTTTAAGAAAGCTTTTAAATCCTAATATTTTTCTCTTACTTAGATTAGGTAGTCTGAGTTTAATTTTGGTAGTTTTTAGTTCTTCTCCTAATCAGAAATTTTTATTGGGCGTTTCTAATTTTGCTGTTTCTCTCATGGTGACTGGGCATTTTGAGTATGTTTGGTTATTTTCTCCTCTACCTTGAAACTGATTGGTGGAAATTTATAGAAAAAATTATTTATATTTAAATATAATGTAATTAAAATATTGAATATATGCATAAAGTTAGTTATTTTTTATATTACATTAAGTAGATTTATATGATTCCTCTGTTTTGATAGTTAGCATTACCATAGAAGAATTTTATGTTTTGGTGATTTTGAGTTATTATGGGTCATTTTGTGTGTGTGCGTATTTGTGTTTCCTTTTATACAAAAAAGTTCCCCTAACTGATTCAACCTCCTTTCTTGGTATTTTTCCCCCTAGATTTTTAAAAAACAGAATTAATATGTAGAAGATTATGCTGCCTCTTCCCTTTTGCTCTTAACTATTTCTTAAAAGCAATATCAAATCAGCTGTTACTTACCAGGCAAGTTTCAGGATGTTTTTTGGGCACATATGCATTCACCAACCTGTCCTTTGCACTACCTTGAGTTAACCTTTGTTTTCTAGACTTTAGTTTATCTTGCAAATAATACTTGTTTTTTTCCTTAGGCTTATCGTTTTTATTTTATGTGCTTTTTCACTCCAGTACCCCCTTGCTACTTTAATTACAGTTACTCACGGCTTTATTTTTTCTACAGAGTTCTTTTTAAAAACTCTTTGGCTATCTTACTAAATTTTCTGTTTTATGGAATTACTTGTATAAAGTTGATACCACTTAAGCTTTTTTTGTTTGCTTCCATAGGTTTACAGTGTGTCGATTTAGCTTAATTTAAGTGGTCCTTTTTAAAAATAATTAATTGCTAGCTTTATTAAGATGAGTGCAAATGATTAAATTCTTCAGAAAGTTTTTTTTTTTTTTTTTGGAGTATTCAGTACGTGCACAGAATGACTTCTGATACAGCACAGTTTTCTGTAAACTTCATGATTAGAGTACATGAAAAGTGAATTTTCTGCTTAAATAAGTATTACTATAGTATTATAAACAGTATTATAATTAGCAGATTTGACAAATAATCTTATGTATAAATTTCATTCTTGAGCAACTTAGTTTTAAGTAATTCAAGTTGGCAAATTAACTTAAAGTTTGGTATTTTTCTTTTTATAAAGTTAGACTACTTAAGATTATAGGTATGTCCATAAGGGTAAAAGTGATAATAACTACAATAGAAAAGGCTCAAGGTACAGTAAGTGAGTTTCTGTGTTTCATTCAAATATAAGAGTTTCTTATATTTACAAGATATAGCAATATATAAGGGGGAAAAAAGACTTTTTTATGTCCACTGTATATGGGTAAAATCAGTAAGGCCTAGGCAGTTTACAACAAGAATTGTGAACTAGAAAATAATAAGTCACCAAAAATTTAACAAATGTGTTTTCCCTAAAATCTCACTGTTTTGTCAGTCTTGTTTGATTGACTTAGGCTATGTGTTTTGGTCTAATTTTTATTTAGTGACATGGTTATATAAATTCCTAGTTGTTACTCTTTAACAGAGTGTTAAAGTTCCCAATAATGTGGCTGTCTTAAAACTAAACACATGAAGGAAAAGCCCTTAATACTTAAAAATCATTATAGTAGACTTATTTTTATTCTGCTGCTTTTTCTTCTAGATTATCAAAGAGTAAAATTTTTGCAGGCACAAGTATTTACTTAAAATAAATACAGATTTATTATTCAGTTAAAATAGCTGAAGTTTCATCTTTAGCAGATGTACAGCAATGTATGTGTTCATTTTTCCATGCTTGTCACTGCTTTTATCTTACCCTAAAAAAATCAACCCTAAAAAATTCTTCAGTGGAATTCGAGTTTTGTTTTTTTGATTTTTTTTTTTTGTTTTTTTGTTTTGTTTTGTTTTTTGCTAATCTTAGTTGTAGACCAATGGAAGAAGGTAATGAGATGTTGGACTATTTGGGTGGGGTGGGGGCCGAGGTGGGCTTCTCTGAATGCTTTGTATGTATTATTTGAGACATTGTATTTTGGAACTACATGTATGTATTATATTGGACTAGAATGCCTCTCCATTAGTATAGTTATCCCGTGCATGCAGAATCAGTGTGACAGAAGGTGCATGAGTATTTTCATTAATAAAATGGCACTGACCTTTCCGGCTTGCACTCTTATGAGTAGTTCGCATGTAATTCATTTATTTGCTTTTATAATGCTGGCTGAATCATTTTTATTAACATTTTTATAAAGATGCAGTGATCTATTTTGTATAATGTTAGTTTCTAATGTCAGTCCGTTGAATATTAGTCATTGAAAGAATATAACCATTAAATTTGATTCATAGAAATGAAGCACTATTTAACTGTTAGTATTAACTGTTTAGAAACTTGTGAGATGGGTGTTTGGAGTTTGAGCTGTGAATACCAAAACTGAAACTGCACCTTTAAAGTATTCTGGGTATATGCTGTTAGTACATTTTATTATGATTATGTAAAGCTATAACAGTTAACTGCCAACAGCTTGCATTGCCAACTGCTGATTGTTTTTCTTTTAATAATATGCTGCATGTAGATAAAGATGACCTCTCCCCACCTACTGAGGTTTGGGATGTAGACCAGGGGCTAATAAGTAAACTGAAGGAACAGTACAAGAAGGAACGAAAGGGGAAGAAAGGGGTGAAGAGTAAGTGCAGATTCTATTATAATTTTTGTATACCAATTTTTGAGAAAAAAAATTCTTCAACTCTGTGTTTTTTTTGTTTTTGTGTACTGGGAAACTAACTTTAAACTTTGTTGTATAATTGAAATTTATTTGAATGTAATTTAGGATGTGTTATTAATCAAATGAAAAATCATTTAAAATATATTAATGAGGATGAAGGAAAGATTTCAAAGAATTTTTTTTTTAAGCTTTAAAAAGTTAACCAAATTGTAAGGAATATTGTCCTTGGAATGAAAAGTAATAAAAATTTGTTCAAAAGTATAAATTTCCTTATTTTTTATAAATAGGATGTTATAGCTGTAACGAGCTCGTATCCAGGTTACATTTTTTAGTTTGGGAATCCTTAAATATAGTAAGTTCAAAAGCCCTTTCCATTCTTGTTGCTTTCTAGTCTAACAGCAAACCAGGACACAGCAGAAAAAATCTCTTCTGGGTAGTATTCTTTTGATTTCTGTGGCAGAAGGCCAGAAAAAGGGTAGTGATGGCAGTAAAGTTTGTTTGGTCAGTAGTTGAGTGAGTAGCATTTTGTTCACTGTGTTGTATCCTGAAACAATGTATTATAAGAGTATAAATTTAGATATAGCACCTCTCAAAGGTATCATTCATTTCTATTTTATGACTCAAACTTAAAAGCCACATAAACAACATCTTCAGACCTTTGAGAATTAAACGAAGAAACTTAAAACTTATTGTGGGGAAACTTTATTTTGAACTGGCCAGTGATTCTTGCTAGTGTAACTTTTTTGACTAAGTCAAGGACAAAGTGAATGGCAAGGCTAAAACCATACAGGCATTTTGTCATATTCCTTTCTCTGGTCACAGATAAGTTTATAAAATGGCAAGTGTAGTGGAAATAGGTGTAAGTTTTTTTTCCTTAAAAATCTTTTTAAATGGTTTAATTTATTGTGGAAGCTGATAAATTTGGAGTTTTGGAGAGTTTACTTGTTACAGTTATCTTTTATAACCTTATGCTTATTTGTTATGCATGTGAATGGAAAGAAAGTTTCAGATTATACAGTGAACTGCTTTTTGTATTTAAATAATTTAGTGCTGGGCAGGGGCTGTGTTCAGCTCTAACATCACTTGCCTATGTAATTAATGCATGTGTAGTATAAAAAGTACTTTTCGCATGATTGACTTTTAATTTAGACACCATGACATTAGAATTTTGGGGTTTAGGTCTTTTTAATGAAATGAAGTAGTTTGTTTTAATATTAGATTACTTATTTTATGTATGTTATTCATGACCTGACTCACCTGCTGAAGATTTCTTTAGAAAATGTTAGATGATGTTGGCTTTAATTTAAAATAAATCCCACATCTTTTCCCTGCTGTGATTAGATCTATACCTTTTTCAGGTTTAGAAGGAAGATAGAAATTAATTTAAGGTTTTTTTAGTTGTAGCTTTTAACTGTTTCTTAAAATGGTTTATATTTTAAAAATAGAACCTGTTTATTTAAGAAATATTAGAAACAAATGAACTGAAACTAAAATTCAAAACTCCCATAAAATTTTAATTTAATTAACTTTAAAAAATAGGATATAGTATGAATAGCTTTGTTATTTGCCTGTGTAGTTGTCATTTCATAGAAGACATCGTTTCATGTCAGTAAATATTCCTGCTATATAACATGTCTTCATTTTTTTAACCAAAACAACATATACTCTGTTGTCAAATATAAGATTGGAGAACTGTGTGAAATGGGCAAAAGGGGGCTGCTGTGATTAAATCAGGAGCTGGGGCCACAGAGCCATCATGCCTGAGGCTCTCATGTCTCAATACCATTTCATTATCTAGATATCTACTATACTATTTAACCAGATCCTTTTAATATTGATTTTATGTTAATTTTTTTCAAAAAAGGAATTAACTTTGTTTATATAACTATAAAAGTAACACATGCTTGTTATTCACATCATATAAGAGGTATAATATACAGGTACAAAAAAATGAAAATCACCTGCAGACTTATTACTTCGAGATTAATATTTAACAATATAAGAAGTATAATATATAGTTACAAAAAAATGAAAAACAGCTGCAAACTTGTTCCTTAGAGATTAATATTTAACTATCTTTCCATCTTTTTCTAAGTGTTGTCTTTGTATATAAACCTCCTTTTTAATTTTTCAACAAGAATATTACATTGTTTTTAAGTCATTTTTTTCTTAATGCTTCACAGTCATCTGAATTTAAAATAATTTTAGTGGTTCCACAGTATTGAATTTTGTAGATTTAACTTGGCCTCCATTAGTTAGACCCTTAGATTATTTCTCATTTTTGATGCTTTTACAAATGTCAAGTTACCTATGTAGAGAGAGAGATAATAAAGGTGAGGTTTCCAGCAAAATTAATAAATTAGGAGATAATGTGTTTCTTTTTGCACTTACTTTGTGAATTTAAATAAAATCTTTTTGCTCTTGAATGTAGGGCTCAGTGTGAACATATTGGCTCTGAATCCCTGATGTGAAGATAATAATGGGGGGGAACTGCTCTTTTTTTTTTTTTTTTAATGTTTATTGATTTTTCAGAGAGAGATTGAGACTGAGCTGGGGAGGGGCAGAGTGATAGGGAGACGCGAGCTCTGAAGCAGGCTTCAGGCTCCAAGCTGTCAGCACAGAGCCCAGTGTGGGGCTCGAACTCAGGAACCAGGAGATCATGACCTGAGCTGAAGTCTGTCGCTTAACCAACTGAGCCACCCAGACGCCTCTCCTTTTTAAATTGATGTGTCATAACTTCTAATGTCTTCATCTAGGTAGATCATCATATGAATACAAAAATAATTTTACATGAACAGGATAATTCATGAATTTTCTTATTAGCTATCTTTGTTGGAATTTATTTTATTTTATCAGATATAGCTTTGTATGAGATAGAATAATTCATAAACTGAAGTTTTGATTTATTTCCTTTATTCCAAAATGTGAATGAATTACACCCACTGGATCATAACACTGCGTTTCTACAGATTTGTTCCAGCTTCTTAGAGGGAAGAAAATTATTTGCTAATTTTAGCATATAGATTCAGCAGACGTAATCCAACCTAAATGCCTTTTTTTAATGAAAAGAAAAAAAAAGGTGAGCATATCAACTTTTTAACTTTGTAAAGACTCAACCATGATTTCACTCTTAATTGGAAAGGATTCTAAAATCCAGAGCTAAGGAACAAATGGTTATGTGTCTTCTAACTTGTTTACTTCACTCTGCTCTTTTTTTCTACCTGAGGCAAATGAAATTGACTTAAGTGACATTTTTGCCTTACATTGTACATACAATTCGGCATTAATTTCATATCATGCTAAGTGAGATATATTTAGGAGATGTACTTTATCTGTTAATACTTCTAAAAGTAGAAACCATGAAACTAAAGAAACTGGATGCAGTTATTTTGCTCTTCGGCTTCATAAGTGTTAAGCTTCCTTTTCTTTTTAAGTTTTTATTTTGACATAATTTAATACTTAAGAAAAAGTGCTGTTGAAAGAAAAGTACAAAGAATTTCCTGTGATTTTTACCCAGGTTCCCCAAATGTCAATATTTACCACATTTGCTTTATTCTTTCCTCTCTATAAATACATACAATTATTATTATGAATAGTTCAGAAATTAGGTTGTAGACATGCTGTTCCTTAAATGCTTTAATGTATGTTACCTGATAACAGAAACATTACCTAAGTAACCACAGTTCACTGATGAAAATCAGGAAAGTAATTGATGTAGTACTGTTACTTGTCCTACAGCTCAGTTTTCTTTTATTCTTTAATAATTTTTTAAGTGGTCTATAATTGGCAAAGGGAGTCAGGGGAAGGTTCTCAATTAATTGTGTTAAAATCCTGGTCTGGTATTTTTCTAGAAAATTTTTTTGATGGTTTCCCTTTACTGTATTTCATACCTCACTAAAAATAGGTAAATCAAAAACAAAATCAGAGTGTAGCACCTAGATTTAGTGTGAAGCATCTGAAATCTGAAACCTTTAGAATATGAGCAAGGAGTTAAAAATCTCTTAAGACTTCCTTTAATTTTTGTCTTTTTCAGTTTTTCAACATGGAAAGTTTAAATTGTAGATTATAGTATGTTTTCTTTTGATAGATGCTTTTATTCTGTGCCCTTTTGTTAATCCTATGCTATTTAAGACGTTTAAAATTGAAGCTTACTATAAAAGATTATTTCATATCTTAAGGTGATTTATAGGCTTTTCCCATTTCAGAGATTCACATTCTGAAAATATGTATGTTTATAGTTTTGGTTCTTCCTGAATGAACTTGTCTTAATTTTTCTAATTGTCATTTGTTCTAATTTTCTCGTCTTTCCGGTGTATAGAATATGATTGTTATTCCCCTTCTTTACTGGTGTTAATAGAATTACTGTACATCTTTTGATTGTCATTACATTGGAAAAGGGAAGTCTTTCTTTTTTTCAATATTTTTAAAATATAAATTATGAGTATACCTGTATTGTTTTCTAGTTTATTTTTTTATTTCATATGAATTTATGTCACTTGCTATTCCAGATCCAAGATGACAAACCATTTACAGAAAATGTAATATTTTTGTCAAGTCTGGATTTTGTCCAGATATCTATATTTTGAACATTTTAACATTTCAGGAGAAATTATTCTTTTGCCGCAATAACATTTTGTAAGCTTTTGAAAACAACTTGGCACACACTATGCAATATCTTTGATATTGAAGCTACTTCTTTCTAGGAGAATAGTATAAATTCAAAGAGCCCATAAAACAGTTCAGTATTCTCTCTTGCATCAAATCAGAGACAAAGCAGTTGTTTCATAGCAAAAGGATGCAGTTGGTTTTATTTCCTGCTTTAATTTCACACTTTTAAAACAGACCATTCAGTTCTTTAACTCATATTTCTTTTATTTTTTTCACCCCCCCCAAGAAAATATCTTTGATATTTTCACAAGGGCCTGAAAGTATCAGCTTGATACTTTTTCAAGCAGTAAGCC